ATTACCATTGTAAACATTAAGGAATATGTGTGAATGTACAATAAATACTAATAATATCAAAAATATGGCCACATTTATGTGTCAGCAGGGGTCATGTGTTGCATGTACAGACAGATTTAACATGTAAAAAAAAAAACTAACCTTAAAATGTGTTCATCTGGAAATGGGGTTGCTGGCATGGAGCTTTGAACAGGATTTGATTAAACACATAAAAGAGAATGGAAGCTGAGGGCTGCATGAAAATAGAAACTCAGTTATGGGCACTGCAGTGTTTCAATAGCCAACCTAACAAGCTATAATTACCTGTGCTTTGTGAGCAGTGTGTTTTGTAGTAGTCATAGCCTCCAGGTTCTTCCACAGCTTGGCATCGATTATGTGTGTTTTGGTTGTACAAGAAGATGGCAACAAAGAATAATCCACAACACAGCAAGGGTTCACTTTTCAAAATGGAGACCAGTATTACTCTCTAGTAAGTATTACTGAAGTATTGTTGTATACTGATCTGTACAACTATTTTATTACAGTTTAAGATGCTTATTATTTCTGCAAAATAACAAATTAATTGTATCATAGTACAATAATTAAGTATTATGGAAATATGTGAATGTATGATGTCAGTGCACCTAAAACCACCTGGAGGTTCCTGATAACATTGTTGGAGCAAAATTTCACCTCAAGTGTTACTGAGAAACTGAAAAATCCCCAAACCCAAAGAAGGAGCGCTGTAGATTACAGCTCTGACAGGGTAATTAAGGTCATGCCATTGTCTCAAATGAGAAAAAATGAGATGAGGTAAGTGAATGTGACAGCTCTGCTCTCGGATACTGCTCATGCCTCAGGGTGTGGACGGCTTTTCCTCTCATATCAGAGATGAAAGGCTGGAAAGCTCCACTGTTGTTAATCTTGTGATCTTCCAGGGTCAAATGAACGTCACTCCCTGCAGTGCTTCGGTCACAGACATGCATGATGGTGCATGAAGTTTGTGGCCTCTGTGGATCATATGAAGTTAGGGAAATGAGTTAGCCATTGACAAGATCTCACACACGTACACTGTAGACTTTATATTACTGCTGACCATTTTTTCAGAGCATACCGTCATTTCATGAGCACAGGAAGCGACTCAAACTATACTTAAGAGCAGGCAACTTTCTTAATGTACGACACTAACAAATTTGACTGGTTTGACTTTCTGACAACAAAGCATGTGAATGCAATGCTGATTCTGAAATGTCCATCACCCCACAGTAATAAAGTAATCAACAATTAATTAACTTAATTAATTAAATGTTTACTGTGATTAACTATCCATCTCAGGCAGGGTTCAGATCTCTCTAAGTTCATTTTAAAAGTGAACGGAAATCATCTAAGAACATTTAGTGTGCTGTGGAGAGTAGTCTGCAGTAATGTGCAATAAAAATGGCAAACTTGGTTTTAAATATGAACCATTTTTCAACTTAAAATAATGAGTCACATCAGAGTTAAAGATAAAACAGAACTGACCTTGTTAGAAATGAGTAATAGCTTAACCCTGAAAAACTATGTGGACGTAAGACTTGATTAACGGTGGCATTTTCATTGTCAGTGTCATGCACCACTATAATCGCCTTTTTAGTATAGTCTTTATCATTATCTTGAATAATCTGTTTGTGAAAACTGAGATAAGCACAGGAGGAAGAGCATACAGCCACAATCAAAGACAAATACAGTGGGATATAATAAGGATGATCCAGTAGTAGATGTTATAGGCCATAAAGAAATTATTAGCAACATTTCAAATTACAATTGTAAATATTCACTGTGTAAAATCGCATAGAAATACAAAGGAAGGATGTGTGAATGTACAACAAATACTAATAATATCAAAAAAATATGGCCATTGACAAGCAAAATAAGCAAACATCCTCATTCTGAAGCTTTTTCATCGTCTTCATCAGTGAATGGTGTGTGCACAGTTGGCATGGAGGAATGGGTAATGAAAACTGAGTCGTCTCCATTACGACTGAGATGACTCGAGATGTGGTTGAAAGCCAGAGAAAAAGGATACCGCTACAACTTATTGTTGTGTAAATATAAAAATTGTTATAAAACAAGAGTCGTCCCTATTTTTCCTTACATTTGCCTTCTGGAGAGAAAAAAAAAAAAACACAGGTGGAATTAATGACGTTAACGACGGGGCCCCTCCAGCAACTACTGCAGCGCAGCAATTATATAATGTTATTAGCAACACCTGTGTTTGACAGGTCAGAACGTCTGCTGTACAAGAAGTCTACTGAACTCCACATTTCCCCCCATCGCTTTGTTTGCACCCGTGCGGTTTGGGAGCCACTGACTTACAGTAAGAAGATGTATAACAAAAGAGATTTTCCAGGCTTTTAGTGTTAGTGCTTTTAAGCCACACATATGGTCCTGTAGTATTTGAGGTCATAGGGTGACAGTCCAGGTTTAATATCAAATATGTGTCATGTACATGTAGCCATATGATGTTTGCATTTTTCTGAGCTTTTACTGCATTTCTGCTTGTTTGCAAAGTGTTGATGTAGGGCTGCAGCTAACAGTTATTTACACTGTAAGTTAATGAGTTGATTAGTTTTCCAATTAATGGGGTAATTATTTGGTGAATAAGATAAGAATAAGAAATTATAAATTAAGAATTTATAATTCAAAGCAGGTGTGTGGTGATATACTGGGATTAATGATAATAGTGATATTTAAAAAATGAAATATTGATACTGTGTTACACATTGGATAATATTGTGATGGCAGATGTTAGGCCTGGTGTATATTTTATTTCATTTTTATTTCATCTGGTTGCCTTTTCACTATCCATTAAGGGTAGTTGTTATTTTTCTACAGTTATGGTTACACAGTCTCCACCTCCCTACCATAGACTGTAGCTATAGAGACCAAAACCTTTTTTTGCACCAGGCTGTACACATGTTTATTTCCGCTCTAAAGTTGGACATTTTAACAAGGGAGTCTATGGGGATTGACTCACTTTTGGAGCCAGCCTCAAGTGGCCATTCAAAGAAGTGCTGTTTTTGTCACTTCTGTGTTGGCCTCATTTTTCAGCCCTGGAGGTTGCTGCTTGCTCCCTACACTCGTATTTGAGTCTAATTCATTCACCAAATAAGAGACAAGACACACAATAAACAAAGTTAAAGAATTTGACGGAGCATTGTTATTAGTTTTTGTGTTTGTTTGTATTCAAATTTTCTGTATTCCTTTGGCCAGCTATCATGACAGCTCAAAAATATTCAGTATTCATGTCACTGACAGTAACTTAAAACAAAGAAACACGGCAAATCTGAGAAACAGGAGACAGTAAATGTTTGACCAATGACTTCAATAAGAAATAGATTGTATAAATTGTAATTGATTTTCTCAGTTAATCAACTTCTTAGCACTATTCTGATACAAAGTGAGCCTCATGCCATGCCTCATGTACTTCATAGCTGCTGTAGCTGTGTGGGAAAATTAAACAAGTCTTATTGACACTCTACAGGGAGCCTTTACTAGTTTTTAGGATGGTGATGGTGAATAGCACATTGTGTAAGACAGCAATTAAAATCAATCTTCCTGAGTGAAGGTCTGCCCAGCGAGTATCAGTTTTACGACCCACAGTGTTTTCTTAGCTGGAGACGGAGGGTCTCTGCTCTGCATGTTCATCCCCGTGACCAATTAGGATTATTTATATAGGATCCTCCATAGGGAAACAGTCTTGGCTGCCTCTCACATCGCAGATGATTGAGAGTAGCTTGACTTGATGTATATGTTAATGTATTTAAGCACGTTAAGAAATTTCAAATGATGTTTTTGTATCACGTGTTGACAGAAGAAGCAGACAAGTAAAAAGTGACAGGATTTCCACAAAAAATAGATATTTATATTTCACATTTTGTTCCTGCAGGTCCCTTGCTTATTTAACCTTTTGTGCTCTAATTTCATAAACTACAACAGTATATTTGCACAGCTTTAATAGGACCACTGTAGACCTAACATCTCCTACGGTGTGGCTAAATTAAGAATGCCTGGAGTATTGTTAAGCAGCGGGTGCTTGTCCCTGACTACAGCCGCTCTCAGCAACAGCAGCAGCAGCAGCAGCAGCAGCAGTACACCATTTGCCAGGTGTTGTATAATGCAGTATTTATGTGTCTTCCTGTCCTCTGCCCTACATGCGTGGGACTCAAATTGAAATGTGTATTTAAAGTTTGTGTATCGGCTGACTTTAATTCACCTTATCTCAGTGTGTTTATTGTAGAAAACTGCCGTCATGCAGGCAAACCCTTAAACAGAAGTTTGGTTTTATAGTCCTAAGAACATCACATGGATGAAAGGTCATCCTCTAGCCCCCCCCGTATCTGCTGAATCAACAGCCATGTGTCCGGTAGATGCGTTGAGCAAGAGTCCCTTAGATTACCTGCATCAGTGTATCATCCTCCAACATTCGGGAGATTAGTATCTTCATAAAAAATAAATGCACGGCTGAAAAGTTAAATCAAAGACACAGCTGTTACTAAACTGGTTTCCCGTTTAGAGGGGCGTACTTGACGTGATGTGAGTGAAGATGACAACTGATGTCTTGGAAATAGTTCATCCCTCAGGCTTTGTTCTGAGTTTTTTTTTTTTATTTTATATATTAAATTAAATTAAACTAAATTCTGCATCAAAGTATTATTTTCTATTTTATTATAGGATTGAATTATGATTATATACTGCACATATATTTTGGATAACACTATATACTTTCATATAATGTATATTGTATTTCATAATTATAGTTGTACACTTCCGTATATCATGAATAGTCCACACATCATGCTTGCCGTAGTTGTTTTAGCCATTGGGTTTTGTAATGTCATTGCTCCAGATTCTCCAATGTCTTGTTTTATCTTTACTTTATTCATTCAGATTGTTTTTATTATCTCTTTGTCTCTTATCTTAGATGTCCTGTTAAGATAAAGCTTAAAGCCCCTTTTCTGTGTCCTGTTATCTCTGTTTAGAGTGATCAATGCAGGAAAGAGCACGTTAAACGAAGACCAGGCCTGCTGTGAAGTGCTGGTGGTCAAAAGGAGACCTGCAGGAAGCTGCACACCCAACCGGACCCCCATGACCCGCAGGAGGTCCTCCCTGCCGAATGGAGAGGGCCTGGGCCTCCGGGAGAACCTGGTGAGTCAAACTGATCAGGAAATATTCAACGTTTCCAACATATACCACCAAGTCATGTTGTTCTTTAAAGTCTTATATTTTTAGAGCAAAAATTTTAAATAAGAAAAAATACAAACTGAATGTTATGCTGCATCTTGAGAATTTAAAATAAAATGCTCTTTTCCTGGAGCAAGCAGCTGAGCCATCTTTTTGATAAAATGTTATCGCACTTGAATGTGGATGTAGTGGATGTAGTCCTTGAATGTCCCCCGGGGGCCTGTTGTTGGGACCCACTGTCCCTTGCCTTCATCCTGTCCCATCAGCAGTTTATTGGGACATACAGCGTCCTTTACACAGCACTGTGGCCTTCAGCTGCTCTTGACAGCCACTAACACTGGAAGGCAAATGTGAGTGCGTTCACTCACAGAAAGACACAAAGAGGATTTTTAAGTTAACCTTGTGTGCTTTTGCAAATACAGTATGACGTGTATAAAGGAAAACTACATCATTACGGGATGTAAAGTCACTGCCTTTATACGGCAGTGTACTACATTAATGCAGCATACCGGCGCACTTAATTCAGTCACTGACAGCATTTGCTCTGTCGCCTTTTAGCTACAAGGCTGAAAAAACAGCTAATCTACTGATATTTATCTCTTGTGTTTCACTTTATCTGTCTGATCTGACATGCAGTATTTCCTCATTGAACAGTTCTTTTCAAAGTAATTTAATTTCCAAAGACGATGCATATCTATATAAAGTAACACTGCTGCTAAAAATTTCCTCTCAGCCCACCAGTACTTTACTCAGGCCCACCCAGAGCCTACAGGAAACTCATGCAAGTACCTCATGACTCACTACTGCAGTTATACTAGACCAATAAGAGTAGTGTAGAGCCTTTCTAGTGCTCTTAGCTTCCTTCCTAGGCTCATGTTGTAGAATCGGCATGCACTATATTTAGAAAACCAGAGCTGAAGTGTCTGCAGAAATATGTGAAAGCAACGATCTACACTCAGTGACCAGAAAAAATGCAGAAGTCAGCCCTCCCTTTTTCACTTTACATCTATGTCACGGCATAATGAGATGTATGCAACTCCAAGCAACTTCATGACTACATTGTATATGACTTCATCACTAAGAGTGGAGTTAAATCGCTATCTCACAGACTTTGAAAAAGCAGGACCACTGGTTCCAGGAGGGCGGAGGATCAGAGAGTTGCTGCACTTTTTGAAGGCGGCAAACTCAAAGGTGTGTGATGAATGAACCAGATCACAGGAGACTTTGTCTGAACATCATGTGGGAGGAGGCACTTTGTAGATGGACTCATGGGACAGTATCCAGGTCTGGATCAGACAGTTTTTCATGACGGGTCTGTTAAAACCTACAAATTGAAGCACTGATGCCAGAGGAAATATTAACATCATAGTGCAACAAGTTCATCCAGGAAGTGTATGTTTTGATCAGAAGATGTCATTGAACTGGCCGCTGCGGTTCCCTGAAAGCACCGATGGGATACATTTGAATACAGTTTCTGCAGAAAGGAGCTTTCACCCATTAACATTGCGAAATGTGAAGCACTAAAGCCTGCATGAGTCAGCTTCCTGTCTGAGTCATGATTTGTGGTTGGACTCATGGCTAAAGTTGGTCCAGTGTGCTATTAAAGTGGGTTTTTTTTGTATCCTTCTGGTCATTGACAGTATACATCAGCGGTTCCCAACCTTTTTGGCTTGTGGCGCTTTATGCAACATCTATTTATGACCTCCCACTACAGACTACAAACTGCATGAAAAAAGCAATGATTAAGTAAAAGAAATTTGTATAGTCAAAAGGTTTTTTCTCTTATTTTCCCCTGAGATTTCCAGTATCTTTGCACCCGTTGGTGGGTCCAAGCCCCCGGGTTGGGAACTACAGCTGTACATCATAGCACTGCAAAGGGAATGGATGCTTTGAATTGCCCTACATTCACACTTTTATAAGTCTGGATCAAGAGTCATTACATTTAATTGATTTGATAACAAAATATACTGTATCATGTGTGTCTTAAATTCATCATAAACTCAGCTCAACTCAAACAGTAATGGATGAGGCTGTTTTCCAGGTATTTCGTTAGAAAGCTTATTAGAACCTGGAATAATTAACCTGCTGAAATCAGCTTCTTGTAGAGAAACTGTTGAAGAAACTAATTCATATTGGAACCAAGGGAACAATAAATTATTTTCAGTGGACTGCTTCTTATCTGACCATCCACACACTGACTTATTGTGATTGTTACGGTGTGAATGTGGGGTCAAATAAAATGTTTTGATCACACCTTGTAGATGAAAATATTGACACAACTGACTAATGAAGCCGTGTTTGACTCTCACCCGTATCCAGGAAAGCTCTGAAGACCTAACCTTTCACTACTGGGCGTTGTTCGATGGCCACGCCGGCTCTGGGGCGGCTGTAATGGCTTCCCGCCTTCTCCATCACCACATTGCTCTGCACCTTCAGGAGGTGCTGGAGATCCTCTGCACTCCAAACCTGCTACCCCCCACATGCCTGGGTGAGGAACCCATCAATCACCACCTCACCCCGACGTCGCAACGCGCCCTTACCAGGGCTGCCTCTCTCCGTGGGGCCGCGGGGGCTCCGGGTTCACCCAGCACCCCGCCCACACGCTTCTTTACTGAGAAGAAAGTTTCACACGAGAGCCTGGTGATCGGAGCCATCGAGAATGCCTTCAAAGACATGGTAAGAGGCACGTTCTTGGTATGAAGTAGGAATATGAAAGTTTTTTTGTTTTTTTTTATTAAAAGGTCTTTGATGAACTTTCCAATAAAATGAAAATACTACGCACAATGTAAATCACAGAGCATGGTGCTACTAATCCTCTAGCACAAAGAAAAAGGGAATTCCACCTCAGACAAACTTAAAGACACTGTCCCTGATTCTGTTTCTGTATCCGCTTCTGCCCCCAAATCTGGTACTGGCCTCTCCGCTCAACTTTAATGTTCTATAAAAGTGAGCTGGAAGCAAATTTAGAGATTTGATGGCAAGTTTCAGTCCTTTATCAAAATCAGAAGGTGTATCTTTAAGCCTTTGGTTTTCTAATTATTCATATATTAAGGATCAACACATAATTATGGATGATAAATATTTATGTTGCACAAAATTGTGTTTATTTCTTTCAGTTAGGTTCTTAAGTTTGCATCTCTCTTGAGGAATATTAGATAGTTAAATCTTTATAGGCCTCTTAAACACTTTCGAATGAAACTATTTGAAAATCATTCTTGTTGAAAGGTTCACTGCTCATATCACACTGAGCCCATTAACTGTGATGAGGACTCACAAGTAGGTATTTCTACACACTTTATTAACAGGTCAAAAAGGTTGGAAACTTCTGCTTTAAGATGATATAGTATAGTACACCATCATTATTCTGTGGACTGTTGGCCTTTATGCCATGTCCGTCTGCCTTCAATATTGCTGTATTGCTGCTTCACTTAGTTATTTCCTATATTTCCCAGGTGAGTTATGTCCTTCACTATAAAAGGGTGTTGCTGAAAAAGAAAAACGCACATTTTTGCTGCCTGAAGTGACTAATTTATGTTAACTCCATGTTAAATCCAAATAGGTTTTTCTTTGCATACATTTTCCACTGACCTTATGCACACACACAACAGGACTAGTCATTTACTTCACATTTATCAGTAGCTGTGCACACAGATCATTCAGTATGCTCACTTAACATCCATTAAACTCTAATTGCTCTCTAAGTCAACTGATATTGACTCACTGCAATTAGAGGGTCAAACAAAATGCACATAGGCATCCCAGTTTTCTGCTATTGGTTAACAAAGATGAGCGTACACACATGAACCATTTTCCTGTTGAATTTGAGTACATGCATACACAGAACATGTATACACAGACACTCCATATGATGTTTTTTATACAATGCAATAAATAAAGTTTACTATTATTATTATTAATATTATTATTGTTACAAGACATGTCATGAGGGAAATAAGCAGTCAACACCATGACTGAGTATTTCCACCTAAGAACTGCAGTGAACCAATGACAGTCTCATAACAGATTCAGACAGCCAGGATTTCATACATCACAACCCAAAGGAACAGTACAGAGAGTGAGAGTTAGCATTAGCACAACCACTAACGTGTCAGCCACTGCCAGTTACAAGCTAACAAACAACATAAACAAATAAAAGACGCTAACCGCTCTGATACGTCTGCTAGTCTCTGATTCTGGTCACAACAGACTCCTCATCTGAGTCTGGGTCTGACTGAGGCTCAAACAAAGTCTCTCTGATGTTTCCTCTAACACAAACCATCTTGATACGCACTGCTCCTTCACCTGTCAACCAAGTGCAAGCAGCGGTGGTGGGCGGGGCATAAGGCCATGGTCCAAAAGCAGTCAGTATTTCACCACACATGATGACCATCTGACTGTTTAGTGACTGTTTATACAGCTATCGAGGCCAGCATCAGAGAAGCAGCGTTTGATACTCAAAAGTTTTAGGTATTTAGGTGTTTACTGTACTGCTGTAAGTTGATATGGACTCGTCTGGAGTGTCATTCTCTTCTGGCAGCTCAGAGAGATGAGTAGGTGTATTACCAGCTGGGCCAAGGTGACGTGGTGCGTGAGGTTGAGGTGTGATCACACACAATAAACTGTACGATTATTCAGTCGCAGTCAATAAACAGCCTCTCAGAGTCAAGAGAAATGATGTACTCTTCCCCTCTGGCTGCTGCAGGTCACACACACTTACCTGTGCTGCGAGCTGATGCAGGAGACTTAACTCATGCAGAGGCCAAGACATTGAGACCAGATCCAATCAAAACAGTGCGGGCCTGCCTGATAGGCTTTGAAGGGGACAGGTCAAAGGTCATTGGCCGCAGTTTCAACATCAGGGCTTTGATCAACAGTTTGTCCTGAGCTGGTCGTTACATTGGGAGATTAAAGTTGCTCTAATGAAAATAAATTGCTGATTTATTTTCTGTCAGTCGACTAATTGACTAGTTTCATCTGAGACAACATATGCACATGAATGCAAAATAAAAAACTAAAGCAGTATGGCAAATACAGAGGCCCCTATGCAATAAAATAAAAATAAGAAAATACATGAAAATATATTTACAAATAAATAAATAACATCTATTTAGTATCTATGTTGTCTTGCTGTTGTAAACCCCACCCATCTGGCTTTGCAAGGTTAAAACAGACGCTCTGAATTATATTCCAGTAATGCTTGACCAAAGTCAACACATCACCAATTTTTTCTAAAAGCTAACATCTGTTTTGTGGGTGAGATCACTCAGGGAGGTTAAATTAGATGTTTATGAAGGGCGGTGCAGATCAATCCCATTAGAAAACACCATTAATCCTGGTGCTTCCTTGTTTTAACCACTAGATGGCAGTGTGCAATTATCTATGTTTACCAAAGCTGTATAATATGATACCATGAATTGTTCCACAGAGTCATGAGGACTGTGTTTTTAATTACTTATGATAATAACAGAACTGCTGTTGGACAGTGTTGTACTTTCACACTAAGATTAGTTTAAACTATCATGGCAGCAATCAGCAGAAATCCAGTTTTTGAGAAGGGTCCAGATCATAGGATATTAAAATTATGTTCTACAGCTTACCTGCAGTACATATCATGACTTTACAGTGCAGTAGTTTCTCTTTCTTTTGCTGTCGTTTTCCTTCTCTATTCATCTTTTTCTTGTCAGAAACATATCTGCCCACGACTCCTAACAGTCAGCAAACATCTATGTCTCTCTCTGCCTCCCCTCTCTCCTCTCATGTGCCTCTCCAGCTCTTTATCCAGCTTTGAATCTGCACTTTTTCTACCTTGTGCGCCCTTTCTTTCTTAAAGGGTAATTGTACTGAAATCCACCTTTTCAAGCATTGCAGCTGAGGTCACAGTATCTTTCACTCTCATACATCTAATCCTACAGCTACAAAACTGTCTAATGGTGGTCTAAAGTTGTTCCTCAGAGAGCGATATTTTAAAGCATATTTCCAGCTGATTGTTAAGTGTTTTACTAATTTGTTTTTCCAGGTGGTTACAGCATTTTTTTTCTCACCTATGAGCTCTAATTACAACACCTACTTTCCTCCGCAGCTGTCATTTATTTTAATTTGAGTAATTGTTACAGAGAAATTAGATGCACTCTGCTTCAAATGATACACATTTCTGCTTGGAACAAAAAAAAACTGTCACTTCCACTTTTTCTGAGTGACTACCCAAAAGCCGATTTTGGCAGACTCTCACCCCTAAAAGCCCCCCTTATTTTTTAATGAAGCTCATTCTTTAAGAAAATGGGAAATGTCAGAGAGTCTTGGGAAGGTTTGTCGCTCTAAATCTCTGTCTCAGAAGTTCAACGAGCCTCTGTATCTTATCAGTGGTGATCCACCTTTAATTCTCCTCTGACACGACTCACTGCATTCCTATGAAAGTGACTGGGTTGTGTGGAGTTGCTGCTCAGGCCCGATAAACACTCAGGGATGTATAAACATAAAAAAAGTAACTCAGAATCTTATCACTCTGAGCTGTTTTTTGGGCCTGGACAGAAATAAGAGGGGATGAGATCTCTGGCCTCGTCTGACCCTCTGCAGTGCAATTTAGTTACATTTAGCCCGTGGGCTTGGTGCTGTGTGTGTGTGTGTGTGTGTGTGTGTGTGTGTGTGTGTGTGTGTGTGTGTGTGTGTGTGTAGTTTATGATGGTGATCAGGAATAGGAAACAGCCTGACTAGCCTATAAAGCTCAGTATCTGCCACATTATATGGTATGTAGTTTATCTGTACAAAAGCCAAAGTGTAACAACAGCAACCTCATCACTGTGTGGTTGCACAGTAAACAGAGGAGACTCAGGAAGTCGCTGCTCCCGGCCAAGAAACAGTCTTGCACAATACCCTGTCTAAAACTACAATGTGTCGTCTTTACATTTGTCCATTTTTTAAACAAACAAGACATAATGAATATCTGTGAGCTTTAGAGGTGCTGTTAGGAAGATGTTGTTCCTTCTAGACAAGGCCAAACTAACTGTTTCCCCATTTACAGTCTTGCTAATGCTAATTTAGCTAACTAGATGCTGGCTGTAGTTTCATATTTATCATCAAATCATAATAATGGTATTAAGTTCAACCTCCTCATTTAACTCTTTGCTAGAGAGCAAATAATATTTTGCTAAATATCAAACTATTCCTTTAATTAGTGATCTTTATAGGTGTTGGTGTGCTTATTTTTGAACAGTGGAAAGAGCCAGCTGGCTGTTTCCTCCTCCTTCCACTTATGCTAAGCTAAGCTAATCACCTGGCTTCAGCCGTGGCAGACGTGAGGTATCAATTTTCTCTCTCTCAGACAGAAAGCAAATAAGCAAGTTTCCCAAATTACACTAATCCATTTTCAGGTCACTGTTACTAAGTTTTTACCATGAGGTAGCCATGTTGTTAGGCAGTGGCCTTCAGGAAATGAATGTATCATTTCAACCTTTTTACACTCTAAGTGTATGTCTTGTGTTTTTTGTTGTGTGGTATGAGGAGTAGGCTAGTTGTCAGAACGTATGTTCTCATCAGTGTCTGTTTGTTGGTTTGGTGGTTTGTTTGTTTGTCAGCACGATTGCCCAAAAAGTAGTGAAAAGTGCTTTGCATCAAACTCGGCTGAGGGATGGCACATGGACCAGGGAGGAACACATTAAATTTTAGTGCTCATCTGGTTAAAGGGGTGGATCCAGAAATAGTTTTTATCACTTTAACATTGCAACATTGCATTTCTCAACATTTTCGTCTATTTCTCAGGAAATAATGTACGAATCTTGTGGTAAAATATCAGACGCATTAATGGTGTTGACATCTAGTCTTTGTACAGTGTGTTTGGCCTGCTGAGTGTAATTCTAGTTAATCATTCAATCAAGCCATTCTTTTTCTACATTTTCTCTCCCTGTACATCTTGGTCTACATTGGCGCCTGAACAAGTTGTCAGTCTATCACAGGTTAATAATTGAATATTGAATATAATATATGAATACTTAAAGTCTCAGAGGTATGGTGTGTGACTGCGTGTTGGCAGAGGCTTGTAGTTACAAATAGCTGATTTTTGAAAAGATTTTTTTTGAAAAGGTCCTTCTTACCCTCATAAACAACTTACAGTAAATGCCACTGCTTTTGCTAATTAGTTAAAAACGATTCATTCTGTTAATTACCTGTCTCACTGTCCTTCATCAGAGCTTTCCATCCTTTGCAAACCTCTGTTGCAGCCATCGCTGTTCTCAGAGTTCATTTTTCTGTTCCCGTGTTTGGATCTAGTAGCTTTAGGCTCTCATGAACCAGGTAACATCGTAGACAACTGAGAGAGTTTTCTTTTTTGGTCTATTCTGTAAGTCACCATGGAATACAGAGCTTTCATGACAAAACCATGTTAAATAGAATTGTTCATTTTCAAAGTATGAAGCGCCTACTGTGAGTTTTGCAACAAATAGGGTGTCCTTTAGGAAGTATCTAAAATTTTTATTTTTTTTGCATTTGTGTTTCATTGAGTCAGTCTCTTTCACTGTATTAAGATACAATTAATGCAGTTGTGTGGGTGTGTGCTGTGTGAAAGTTTTTGTGTATGTCTGAGCTGTATTTTAATGTCCTTGATTTTTTTTTCCTGAGCATATTCATTTGGATTTCAATGGAATTATAGTGTAATTTGATAAATTCTCCTTCTTCCTTGTTGCTAGAGTGGCAGATTTTTTTTTCTAAGGTGAACGACTACTTCATTTACAGTCAGTTTTTATTATAAAGGCTGATATGATTCGGGACTTCGGAAATTGGGAAATTCCTGATTTGTTAGTCTGACCTTGTGGTATTTCTTCGTCTTTAAAGGACACAAACACTTTAGTCTGAAGGAGTGCAGCAAGTGTGTTTGCATTGGCAGTTTAGTAGAATGAGATGTGTATGTTTGAGCGTCGCATGTCTCTGTCTCTCTCTGCCTGTTGTTAGATTCTTCCTGGTGGAAGCGGAGAGGAGAAAGGTGTAGATGTTTATGCAGGCATTTTCATTATTAAAGACTTTGCCTGCAGCGAGAGGTATTGGATACAGTGAGGATAAATATGTATGGCTCGCTATGGATTCATAATTCATTCAGTGTGAAGGACACATTTGTTCACCTCCCTCCCACTCAAGTCACACACACACACACACACACACACACACGTATCTGTCCTCTATACACCTTCATGCCCTCTCACTCCTGAGAAATGTGTTGCTTCTTCAAGCAGACAGTAGCAACACTGGTGTGTGTGTGTGTGTGTGTGTGTGTGTGTGTGTGTGTGTGTGTGTGTGTGTGTGTGTGTGTGTGTGTGTTTGGTAGAGTGGAAGGTTACAGAAACTTACACATGCATGTACACACAGACTTTCTAAAGTCAACACAAAGAGTACACAGACACACACACACATGCAATCAGATTCACACACACACCCATCTTTCATCCAGACACAAACACACACATATTGATGGACACAGTGCACACACACACACACACACACTACAGTCCACTGTTGTTCCCTGATCAGATATAAACACATATGTACACTTACGGTAAACACACACATATTTGCAGAGTTGTAACCAGATGGAGGTCGTCAGCAGCACAGCAGAAGGTGATGCGCTTTAGCTGGGGTGAACATCCATCCTGGGAAAACGTGTCAAGGCTGGACTCACTGCAGACATCTTCACCCAACATTTTTCATCCCACTCAGTCTGTTGATAGTGATGGAGGGATGTGAGGGAGGAACCCCGGGCGTCGTCCGTTCTCCTGGCCTCAGTTCTGCCATGAGAGGAGCTGTTAACGTCAGATAAGCACCAGCCAGCCAGAGAGAGAGAGAGAGAGAGCGAGAGCAAAGAAGGGTTAAACCAAGAGTGAGCAGCTTGGTTCAAATTTATGTTAGCGTTTTGATTAATTCACTGACAGGTTAATTATTCATCCAATTAATGAACTAATAGTGTGGGTTTTTTCAAATCATTCTTTTGGTTTAATTAGCACCAAATTAATCTGGGCTAATTAACTGGTGTAATAACCAGCAGTCCCTCCAAACTTTCTCTAATGTCCTTTTTGGTTTCCATTTTGTTTTATTGCTTCTTGACTTATGGCACTCTTGATAAATTAATCCATTATGTGGCTATAATTAATAATCATGCATCATGGCAGGTTTTAAATATGAAGGAAATGTTTTACTCAGCATTGGGCTTTAATGCTATGTGCCGCTGCGTAATAGGAAAAACTTTTTGAAGGCTGTGATGATTAGAAACATGATTATTTCCAGAGGATATGTGTGTGTGTGTATTGTGTGCTCTCATCAGAGGATTAATGTGTGTGTCTGTGTTTGTGTTCAGGATGTACAGATAGAAAAGGAGAAGGCAGTCTACAACATCTCAGGCGGCTGCACTGCTCTGGTGGTTGTTTATTTAGGTGGGAAGCTCTACGTTGGGAACGCAGGGGACAGCAGGTGAGATACACACTCATACATGCAAACCATACGTAACGCACAGGCCACGTGACGTTATTTTTTTTTTCCTTCTCTGTCGTGAAGTGCCCCGTCTTCTTCTTCGTCTTATCGTGTCCCGCAGCCAGCAGGAGCAACACTGTCCCTGCTTAAAGTAACAGAGATGTGTTTTGTCTGCTCCTCACCCTCAGAGCTATCATTATCCGGGCCAGGGAAGTCATCCCCATGTCAGCAGAGTTCACGCCAGAGTCAGAGAGACAGCGACTGCAGTTCCTGGTAAAGAAAAAAAAAAAAAAGAAACAACCTTTCTCAGCTCTTTTTTTTTTTTTTTTTTTTTGAGAGCACAGCTGTCAGATATTAGCAGAGCTGACCTCCCCTCCCGTTGAGACACTGGCTATGCTTAGCTCTGTCTCTCTTACACCGCCTGCTCTCTTTGCCAGCTTAATAGACTATGGAATTGTTTTTCCTATCCCCTGGGCTTGTCAATCTTATTCTTTTTCTGTGTTTTTTTTTTTTTTTTTTTTTTATATCAAAGGCCTACATGCAGCCCCACTTATTAGGGAACGAGTTTACACATCTGGAATTCCCGAGGAGAGTGCAGAGGAAAGAGGTCGGGAAGAGGATGCTGTACCGTGACTTCACCATGTCGGGATGGTGGGTTGATTGATTCATTGATTTATAGACTGATTTAACTATGAAATCATCACCTAATCTGAATATGCACAAACATGCTAACTGTGAGGATACCAATGTTTGATTTTTTAGATTTTTCTCATTTTGCTGCTTCAGTATGTGTGTCAGTGAGACAAGACGCAGCCAGTGAGACATATAGTTATTTCATGGGCTATTTTGCTTCCATGACATGTTTTCTCTCAGGCTAGTGGAAACAAAACAAAATACGTTTTACTTTTTATTTTACTGCAATTTGTCTATTTGAGTCTGTAGATGTGAATCACAATACTTCATCTTTAAAGGCCGATTTCTCAAAATCAGTTTCTTCTCATTTCAGTACACATACATTGTACACCAAACTTTCCAGTTTTACTTTTATACCAATATTCTGAAGGTTTTTACAGAGGCGGGTTGTTCATATATCATTCATCGCCATTCAACATTTTATTTCTAAAAGCATGTCGAAAATTGATTTTTTTTCAGTATTTTCTGATTTATGATGTGTGAGAAAAAGAGATCCTCTCTGTGAAAACCTTTGACTCTAACGTGTCGACAAAATGAAACATGAACTTTGAACCTGGCTTTATCTAATGTTCCTATTTCTGTCCTGGAAATTTATGCAAATTGGTGCATATTTAATTAGACAAGAGCTCATGTGCATATTTAAACATACAATTGCAGTAAACTTATTAAATAAATCTTCTTATTGTAAGAAGTAAGCTGGGGGAGTTTCATGGTGATATCTTTTAGTTACATTTTTACTCTATTCACCTGTAGTGTCTTGCTATGAAGTGTCTCCTCTGCCTTCATGCTACATTATTTAAAACAAAACACATTTGTTAAATACCATCTTCAGTTTTTTTTTTTCACATCTTCTAACTGATCTCGCATACAGTCAGATTCATTTATGTGCCCTCAGAGACAAATTACTTCGAGACATTATCTACATTTGAGTGATTTCCTATAATGCACCAAATATAAAAATGCTCCATAAAAGAAATTTCCATCACATTCAGTGTGTAACGGAATGGAGAAAAAAAAGTAATTCAAAGCTTTGCTGTCTAGGAGACCGTGACATTTCTGCTTCAGAGTGTGAGAAGAGCGCAAGAAGGAATCTGTGGGCACAGCAAGGCCCCGGCTCTTTATCTTATTGTGGATAGGGAGATAATAAAGGTCAAAGAGCCTGAGGAAGAGGGTGTGAGAGGGAAGAAAAGGGAGAATACATGAAGACAGATGGAAATGTGAAAGCCAAACAAAAGACAGGAGATGGGAGGAAAGGAGGGGACGAGGGCATCAACAAGATAAAACGGGAGGGAGGGAATGATTGCATGTACAGCGTCAAGTGCCGACTTTTAGACCTAGTTTCTTCTATTATTTATTTCCTTTTAAGGACTTTGACACTAAAGTAACTCAGACATAGTTACACTGCTCCTGAGGTCACATTAGGCTAAATGTCAAGTTAGCAGCACTCTAATCAGAAAAGTCTGACAATCAGACCTTTAATAAAAGTTTATAAATGATCTGTGCCCAAACTGTACTTGAACTGTGGAAAAATGACAACAATGTGTCAAAAGAAGTGTTTTATGTTGGGGATACACAGGCCAAACGCTGATAAAGTAATTAAGAGGATTTAATCCGGTAACATATACAGATGTCAGTTTATTAAATAAATCCTCCTCCGTGAAGGTTATAATACTCAGCTTTTATTCAACAACGAAGTTGATTCAGCTGTGTGATCATTTTGGAGGCTGGTGAACTGTGTTGCATTATCAAGAGAGGTGTTTCTGTTATTTTACTTAACTTTATTTATATAACTGTATAACTGGCAGACAAAATAATAGAAACACCTGTCTTTATAGCAGCACACAGAGCATTACTGTGTAAGCAACATTGAGATGTTGCTTACACAGTAATGCTAATAATATGATATGTAATACATTTGTAGTAAAATTTTGTGTAAGATTCTTCTGACTGATGGTGGTCAAGCTTGGATCTGATCCAGGATCAGCTTTCACAGTTTAAACAGAAACAAACAAGGAAACAAACTGAAGTGAAACCAGTCTGACAGACTGTGACGGACCAGTTTTTCTGTTCAGCCTGATGCTCTCATCACTGGGGTTAGTTAAAGCTTGACTGAAGTTACATTAAAGTCACATTAAAGTTTGTATTTTTACATTGTGGTATTACCACTTTGGATAATCCCTACACTACTCAGTGAAAGTATTATTATACTATTAACAGCAAAATGTGCTCAAAGTATTAAAAAGTAATGCAGACAGAAAGGCTCTGTCAGTGTTATGTTATTATACTGGACTATTATTACTGATTATTCACTGCATTAACATATAAGCGACATTTTTTTATGATGCAGCTGGAGACAGTTTTGACTTGTTCATATACTATCTACTGTAGTTCAGCCTTTATCATCATCATATCATATCTTATAAGGTGATCATATGTTTTGTATGTGGAATCTCAATGTGCAATAACTAGTGACTATATCTGTCAGATAAATGCATTTAGGTTAAAAGCACAATGTGTCTGAAGAAGAAAATGGATTTGATATATAGAGATACTCAAAGTACAAGTAGCTCAAAACTGTAGATAAATACAGCACTGGATTAAATGTTAATCCCAACCAACACTGCTTTTTGCAGTGGTGATTAAGTTATTTAAAAATTGATGTGCTCTTTGTGTTTTAATTATGTCTTCCCCTTGTAGAACATGTGTTATGCTTACAGTATGTGCGTGCTTATGCATATAGATATGAGGTGGGGGGGGTGGGGGTGGGGGGGTAGACTGAGGACAAAGCAGGTGACTGGGGAGAGAAGAACAGTATGTTTTTTGACACCCCCCCCCCCCCCCTGTGGGTGTGTTTTGCGGCGCTGCTCGGTTCAGCAGATGTAGGTCAGTCAGCGGCGGTGTTCCTTATTGGGCCCACAACTCTCAGCCTGTCATCTTCCTGCTTACTGTCTCAGCAGCGCAGACGGCCTGTGATGTATTTTTAATCAGGTTCTACCCATAACCCAGTTCTGCTTCAGTTTCACCCAGGCTAAGTCTCGGTCTTAAATTAGTACCCTGTCAGCCAGCGTGGCTGATTGCTCTGATGTGTGTGGGTGTGACTTAACTGTGTCATCCTGTATAGGTTCAGTTCAGACGCTCTATAGGTGCAGAGGATCATCTTTTCATGCCTCTGCAGCTCTCTGTCTGTGCATGTGCACACTCTCCTGTCTGAATGTGTAGTCAGTGTGCCCACATGCTGCGTGTGTGTGGGTGTACTCGGGCATCCATGATCAAGGCCGTGCTCTAATGAAGGCATGCAGGCCTGCAGCCCACCTCTGTCTGTCTCCCTCCCTCGCTTTCTTTACCTCCCCTCCCTCGGCCAGTTGGACCAGAGTGTGCGCTGGCGTCGGCGTTGCAAACGGTAATGGTTGTTCTTGTCCAGGCAGATGGAGGGCGGTTTTGTTTGCGAGACATCCCGGAGTGATAGATGTTGAGCAGTCAGCCGTGTTCGACGGGATCCAAACGCCATAGCAACACAGCCAGCCAGGCAGGAGGGAAGATGGGGAAGAGGGTGGCTGGCTGGAGAGGACAGAAAGAGGGGGGGTAAAAAAAAAAAAAGAACAGATGAGAAGGAAATTGCTTCAAAGACAGAGAGAAATGTGAGTAGATTGAGGTAAGCTTCAAAGATAGAAATAGAGATAAAGGAGGAGAGGATGAAGAAAAAGAAAAAAAGATGTGTAGGCCACAGAGGAGGGCAGTGATAAATGGCAGTAAACGGCTCTCAAGCTGTCTCTCTTTAATGCCCACGCCCACTGGGGTATCTGTCCTCCCCCCCATCCTATAGACAATAAACGAGAGAGGAGGGAGACTAACGCACACCTTCATCACTGTCATAGATTCTCACCCCCTCTCTGCCTCTTCCCTTTCTCCTTCCCTTCTTTTTCTCCACTCTGCCGTTTGCGCCAGTATGACTGATGCCTACAGTTTACTACTGTACATGTGGAGATTCATTGGGTCAGTGCCTTTAGCTGTGGCCTCACTCTGCTCCTGAAAGCACCAGTCGATCTATGAAAAGCCCATCAACGTTGGCCGAAAGGTTTATTGGAACCCAGTTGTCAGTTGCGCCAATTTGTCTGACTCATCCGTTGCTGACACAGGCCCGCCACAATGTCACCTCAAAGTCTGTCGACAGGTGTGTGTGTGTGTGTGTGTGTGCGTGTGTGCGTGCGTGCGTGTGTGTGTGTGTGTGTGTGTTTGTGTGTGTGTGTGTGTGTGTGTGTGTGTGTGTGTGTGTGTGTGTGTGTGTGTGTGTGGGGTGTGTTTGTGAATGCATTTGAGTGTGGAGAGATGTATAGAAGTGTGTGTGTGCAGATCAGGATGCTCAGCACACACTGCTAATAGTTCTGTGTCACCCCTCTTAGCGCCGAGCGGAGATGACATCACTCCTCTCCTCTCCTGCCTGCCTCTCGTCACCTGCAGGGGGGACGATACAACCCTTCCACCCCCTCCTCCTCTCCTTCCCTGCATCCCTCTCTTCCTTTCCCCTCTCTCTCTCTCTCTCTCTCTCTCACTCTGTCAGTCACACACTGCAATGTACTGGGCGACCAAACAGCCCTTGAATGTGAAAGCGCTCAGTGTTGTGGTGAAACAGTACAGCCCTTGAGCGACTCTCCTCGCTGTTTTTGGACTCGGTGTCCCAGAGCAGGGAGCAGGTATCATAACAGGATTAATGTGTATCTTTCTCATTCTGTCACACACTTGTTATCGCAAGTCTGACAGGCTGCATTCGCTGTAAACACACATCTCGAGAGGGAGACTGTCCCCGACAGCAGGCTCTGGGGATTTCATCCAAGACATCTTTGAAATAATGACAGAAAGCGTGTGAAGTGTGTTGTAGTGTTTTGGGTTTTTTTTTGGAGACTTCATGAAGGTGAAATACTCGAATCAAAGACGTTTGGAGTGATAAGGCAGCAGAAATGGTGTTCCCCTTTTTTATGAATAGAGAGGGTAGGACCAGTTAATTAATAATGTCTCTTTTAATGCTCAGTTTAAGTTTCACATCATCAAAAAAGCTGCTTTAGAGGTTTTTCCACATCATGAACATTTGCAAACATTAGTGAGGAAACGCTTCTTCAGCCTCTTTACTTTGAGTCTCAGGCTGCACACTGTATTTCTGTGTTTGTGGGCTGCGTTCACTGTGATAGTCCTTGCTCTGCACACTGTTAAAAAAGTGCTGAGTGCAGCAGCAGAGCGCTCGCCTAAGGTGGAAACATATGGTCTCTCTGAGTGGAACCAGCAGTAATGTAAAAACCATCCTGGTCCCTGCTAATCTGCTTCACAGCAGCTTAAATACATTGGATAAGGTGCGTGGGGCAGGTCCTGAGTCACATGATGTTTACAAAGTATTTGCAAAATAATACTTTTAGGTTAGTTTTACTTAACTTTTCAGGCTAAATAGCTGTTATCCTCTGTATTAAACTCACTTTTAAAACCATTTTATCATAGTTGAGAGCATTTTTCTTTCATTAACTTCAGTCTAAAGGCCAGAATAAAGAATATACTGATTTTATAAATACTATTTGATCCAGGTCAGGACTCTGACTTCATAACAAGCCAGATTTTCATATTCATAGCCCCTGGTGTGAGTTGTGAATGGAAAACTTTGTCCTGGCAGCTCTAGTGGAAATTGGCTCAAATTTGTAATGTTTCTGGTGCTGTATAGTGAAACAGCTGTTCCTTTGAAGTGAAAACCGTTGGGTGGGAATGAGTGAAGAAGAGTAAACTCAGTTATTAGCAAGAGTGCACAGTGTCTTCACCGCAACTGTTTGAGCTGTAAAAGGTGAAAAGTGTATCTTCAGAGGTGGCGTGAATACATACAGTATTCTACAGTGTTTTTGTACTGCAGCTCTGTCTGGTCCAAGTCTGAAGATGGTAAATTATTCATTAGATGGGGAAGTTTAAACACTGCTCTGAGAGCAGGGGAATGTGAACATGGATACTCTTGCATCATTCAGCCATTTTACATCCAGACCTTCAGATCACACACACACACACACACACACACACACACAGCAAGTCACAGAAAACCAACAGTAAACCAAGAGTGTTTCCTACATCTATAGATGTCTCATTTTTTGCCAGTAGGGAGACTTTTACAAGATCAGTTAGAAAAAAAAAAAAAGAAGGAGGGAATTATGCAAAGGCTGTGTGTGATGTCGGGGTGAATTTTGTTTTTTCCCTCACTGTCTCTCTTTTTCCTCCTAGCATTCTCTGTCTCTGTCTCTGTGCCAGTCGCCTCAGTAGCTAGGCCTGTGGGTGGGTGGGGGGGTGGAGGCGATGTATCTCCAGGGCACGTGTGCACCGCCTGCCATAAACCAAAACCCCATTAAAGTGTCCTCTCTTCTCTGCACAGGGCATATAAAACCATCGAGGATGATGACCTAAAGTTTCCCCTGATCTACGGCGAAGGGAAGAAGGTAAGAAGTAGCTCGGCGACCGCTCGCTGACAAACTTACTCCCACGGCCTTGTGCGCCTCGCCTGTAATCAAAGCTCGCCAGGGCACCATTAGTCAGCACCCCTCACCCCCATCACTGTGTGGAGGAGCCTGCCAGTGGAAAGCATTCCTGGCCTCTTTTTCCACACGGATTCACATCCTGCACAAACCTATGGCACAGAACATCTCTCCACTCTGATGGACTTTTTGCTTTTATGTCCCGCGGGAGATTAAAAACGTAGCACTAACACAGATGGGGGTCAGTGGTGGGAGTCCCTTTTTAGATGATGAAAGTGTGATGAAAGACAGATGAAAAATGGCCAAAAACTGACGTATGTTAATTGGAATATAATGTCACTAAAACACGGACTCGCAGGAGAATCTTGTCAGTGTTTTGACAGAAAACACAAAAGAAAAGGTCAAGAGAGCGCAGCACAGTGTTCATGACATTTTCCTCTTCCTCAGTGATGCTGGACATGTGCTGGTGTGCAGCATCTTGTCCTTGATGCGCGAAAAAGGTCAGAGAGGAAACATGATAGACGTCAATATGTTCTCTCTGTGGCCTTCTCCGGTTTTCTGTTAAACACAGACAGACAGTAGATCCATGTTTGACGGATGACTGGGGCAGATGTCACCCTACAGTACTCTCTGCCTGCAACCACGTTCGGGTTTACCCCTGCACAGTTGGCCGTGCCCACGTCGTATCCTCTTCCTTTGAAGTGAGTCGTGGAGATGGATGGCTAGATAGAGTGAGGGAGCTTTGTGCAAGGGAGAGTAACGCCAGAGCACTTCAAAGCCCGGCGCGCAGCCTGCTGGGCCCCAGCTCTCAACAATTAATCCCAGGATGTTTCCCCTTCTCTGCCGGAGGAGCTTCACGGCCACTTTGAAACACTCTCCCCTCTCCGTCTACTTCTCTCTCCCTCTCCGTGCTGCATACTGATCCAAGCTCATACCTACCAGGCCTCACTTGCCCTCGTACTCCTCTCCCCGTCCTTTTGTGCCACGCTTTTTCATATGCTGTACAGTAGATTCAATTAGCCCAGTTCCCCAGTCTGGTGCCAGCAGCCATTTTTAGAGGCTGCGGTGGCAATCTGTGCAGACAGAAGGAATCAAAAGGAGTTTCGTACATCTTACAAATGAGTTTGATGGCTTCCGGGACTTGGGGAACGATCATTAGGCACTTACAAAACTGGAAGATGCTGACGATGAGCTTGTATTTATTTGCCTAAATGCTGCGCATCCATCCAGATAAAGGTTGCCACTGGGAGTAGTCTGCATTCTTCAGTGAAATGGCACTAGGGATATGTCATGCAGATTATTCTTTACAGTTATCAGGGATGAAAGTCACATTGTATTTTAATGACTTCATTCAAGGAGGATTCACAGGGATTATATATGCTCTCGTTCAAAAAGATGTTGCTTCACAGTCACACACATTTAGTATATTTCTGAAACCTGCTTTATGAACACAAGCAGTTCATTAGAACAGGCTGGGGTCAAATTAAGTGCCAAAACACAACTATCAAAATTCATTTTTCTATTGTGGCCACTGGTTAATTCCACTTTATTAAAACTTGGGTCTTATTTTTGTGTGTCTTTGCTGGTTCAACTTCAACTTCCTGTACTCGCCATACATCACAGTTTTTCTGTACAATGAATACCAAAATTTTGGCTGCACTCACTCACAGGCTCACCTCCAAATAAAATGGGTTATTGATAATCTGGCTAAACCGTTAGCTTCACTGATCATTTGACTGCTCATGTTTCTTACTCCTTCTGAATTTGTTGTAATCAGGCCGTGTTATCATAACCAATGTAAATGATGACTAAAGCTACAAAAATGACACCCAATTCATAATAAACTCAAATTCTCAAAACTCCTTTCAAAATTGAATAATAATAATAACACTTGTGAGTTCATTTGGCTCAAATGGAGGTTGTGCTTCACACGCCTCTGATCTTTTGCAGGCTCGTGTGTTGGCGACCATCGGGGTCACGAGAGGTCTCGGGGACCACAATCTCAAAGTGCACGACTCCAACATCTACATCAAGCCCTTCCTGTCCTGCTGCCCAGAGGTAGGCTCCATTTTGAATTGTATCCTTCATCTTTCTTTGCAGTGTGTAACAGGCAAAGAGAAATTACTCACACACCCAACTAAGAGTGTTAATAGTCATAATAAAAGTTTGGGAATCGATTTATTCAACCATTCTTGTGAAACTTCGGATCAATGGTTTTCTACATTTCTATTATTTGAATAGAACAGTATGTATCTTTTACTTTTCGCTCACAAAAAGGTTGGTAAACAAAGATAACACAACTCACACACACACGTCCTGTAACACTTCTGTTGGTATGCGTTTTGGTGTAGAAATCTGTGTCTCCTCTTTTCCGGATTTGTTCCTTCAAAAAGTGACATTTTAAAGTAGATCTGGAGGGACGGAAACTCATGTTTGTAACTGTTATTACTAATTAATATTAATATTCAGTTGTTGCGAAGGTCATCGACGTGTGAGCATTACAAAACAGAATAAAGGAAATGTAACTCAGAGCATCAATAGCAGGAAGTTCACAGTGTTGCAGTATTTTATGGTGGATCTTTCCTTTTATTTTACCTCATGACCTCCTGATAAAATGAGAGTGCATAGGTAACAATAGGTAAAAGGCCTTTTGGCTGTTCACAGTCCACACTGTGAACTGCGTGGTCAACCTGCACATTAACATTCCCCACCAGCCGTCCCTCTCCAATGACTCCTTTCCTTCCCTGTGTCTACTGCACGATTGCAGTAGTAATGAAGCCCATGAATTCTCTTGATCTTTAATTCATCACCCTCCGAGTTCAGTCATAGTTCAACCTCGCTTTTTGATCTTGAATTTCTTTTCCGATTTCCCCTCCCAAGACCCCTGAAGTCGCTATTGTTTCAGACAGGGCATAAACACACTATTGGTATATGTACGACATGTCAGACCTGAGCAGTAGAGGTCCCACTGGATGTTAGATGTAGGAAAAAAACAGTTTCTATATAAAGAAATCATGTATGTGGGAGAGGTGGGACTGCGCTGTGCAGGGTTTGTGAAAAAAAAACGTTTCTGCCAAGATATAAATACTGAGTGCTCACAGGATATAAAGAAAAAAAAGCTAAGAAAAAAAGCTGACCTTGACATTTGGAGTCACCAGATCATACTCATGAGATCAAACGTGAGCGTTGAATCAAAAAAATCAAATGCTACGGTCATGACCCGTCATCCAGAGAGATTTTGCTGCTGTTTCAAATCTGTTTTGAAATTGATTCTGAGAACTACCATCTCCTGGATCTCATGGATTGATAACCTTGCTCCCTTTCTTTCTTGCAAAGCTTAACTTAAATCAAAAGGTTTTACGACTACATGGAGGCTCATGATCCACACAGAGGTCATTCTGGTTCCTTTACTAGGGCTTTCACAGGCACTGTGGTCACGCTGTGCTGTTTTCTCAGTAGCCTCTGCAGTGGATTGGTGTTTCTGCTGTGAACAGGCAACTCCTCCGTGGAAGGAATTACATGAAGCTAAGGCTAACTAAGGTTTTTGGTTTTTGTTTTGTTTTGTTTTTTTTGCTGTCCAAGGCCTGTGGGCATTATTTTGCATGCCATTTCAGAGTATGCTTTTGTTCAACCATAGTAATTTGAGAGTTTGGGTTGCCACAGTAACATAACATCTCTTTGTTTAAGCGTGTCTTTTAAAGATTGAGGCCATCAATTGCTTTGAGAAAAATACACAGAGGAAGATGTGACAAGAAAATTGGGCTTAAATGCTCAATTCACTTAAATCAAGAAAAATAATTTTCTCACTTACTTCTGTTGTTATCAATCCACTCCAAGAGATTTTGGTTTTATTTGCAAAGATTTTGAGATATCAATATTATTTTGTGGTGCTCCACAGTGTCTCCATTAGTCAGGATAATACATGGCAGGTTCCACATTGATTTTCCATACTAATCGTTTACAGTAGAGTGCTGCAGGGATGATGTATTTTAACTCATTCTAACCCAGATGTTAGCGTCACGCTGGTTCCCTCAACAGAAAGACAAAGGAATTTTTTTACACTGGCTTATTATTATATTGCAGAAAATAAGCTCTCTTACAAACATAAGTCTATAATGCTTTATGATTTTTTAAGCCTAAATACAATTGCCAGAAGCTCATGTTAGGCAATAAACAAACTATACCACGGTCACATGACTTCAAATTCACTACCACAAAACGTCCAACTTGTAGTTTGATTTAGCGCTTACCTCTAATACAACAGCCTTTCCTCTTACAAAGTTAGTAATAGTTTGCAAAAGTGTTAACGTAAAGTATAAACACAGTGAGGCTGTAAAGGTGGACTGGTGAGTGGATCAGTATTTGTGTTTGGCATGATGACATTTAACGTCCCCGACAACCTCTGTAGTGTCATTTAGCCACTTCTTAGCAACCGGCCTTTTTTTAAGAATGGTAAAAGCTTAAAGAAATAATAACTGGGAAATTTACCGACGTATTTTATGTCGTAGAATTAAACGTGAAAATGTCTGTTAACCACAGACCTTATTTTAGTAATCTAATCAAAAACCCATTCAAAAAACCCATAGACTTTGGGATGAGGGAACCATTGCTAACATGCTAACTAATTTTCAGGTTTTAGGACACATTAGTGCAGCACTCTATAGAGGTGGAGGCAGAAAAGTTATAAGCAAATATCTCAAAGCCTGGACAGATAATTCCTGAGATATTTGGAAAAGTAAGAAAATTATTTTTTTTTTCAATTTGGCTGAACTTACCCTTTAAGGTTAAAGATAACCTTTTATGTGAAATTAACACAAAGACACACACACGCAACTCAGGTCCAAGTGATTCCTAGAAACCATGCACATCTCTCAATCCTCATTGTCTTTCCACCCCTTCACCTTCAGGTCAGAGTTTACCCACTAGCGCAGTGTGAACACGGAGCCGATGATGTTCTGGTGCTGGGAACTGACGGTCTGTGGGACGTTCTCTCCAACCAGGAAGTAGCTGAAGCAGTCACCTGTTTCCTGGCAAACTGCGACCCCGATGATCAGCACAGGCATGTTCACTCATCGCACAGCTGCAGCCGCCAGTCAGGGCTGAACTTCCTCTCACCCTGTCTTATTTGGAGAGGATGAACGTTGTTATCTTGTTGTAATTATGCAAATTTCCAAACATTTAGATAAGTCATTTCTCTGATGTCAAGGAAAAGCTTGTAAGACTATTAATGAGGCGCTCTGACTCTTCTTCTCCTGTGAGCTTAGTTTCAAAAGTTCATCTTAACATTTACTGATTTTTTCTTTTTTTTAATTTCGTCTAGCTGCAGGCAGATGTACTTAGTCAAATACTGTGCATAATCATTATCAGATTCGACCATTTATCTCTTTGTTTATCACTATGCCAAGACTACGCCTTAATCATTTATCACTTCTCTTATGTCAGGTACACAATGGCAGCTCAAGACCTCATCATGAGAGCACGAGGGGTGCTGAAGGATCGCGGCTGGAGGATATCCAACGACAGATTAGGCTCCGGAGATGACATCTCTGTCTACATCATTCCCCTCATGTACGGCAACAAGCAGAATTAGCAGAGCGACGTAACTACAACCACCACCACCAAAATATAACCCTGCCTTGAACTCCCAACTTCTACAGTTTCCCACGTCCCTTGTGCTCTGTTGTTAAAAGTGCTTTAGTGTGGACTTCCTCAATTGCTGAGGGATCCATGACGTCTCTGGTCAGAGACGGGATTTCTGACCAGGCTGTTTTCCCCCTTGATCATCCGAGGATGATCATATCCCTTCTTTTTGTCTGGTCCTTTTTTTAACAGAAAAGAAACTACTGCAGAAAACTGAATCATGAAAAGTTGAAGTTGAACTACTGATATTTCTTACCCCCAATCTTCTGTGTTTTACTGAGGAAGCCATCATGAACTTTGTTGTGAAGCAATGCAAAAGGTTGAGAGCATGTTCTCTCATGGACGAGATGGTAATATGCATCTCAGGATTGCTGTTACTAACTAATGCACAATATATATATATATATAAATGTGAAAATGTAAATACTCCCAGGTATAACATATTTGATAAGTGTGTTTGGTTGAACACGTGTACAGTGTAAAAAAAAAAAAAAAAAACAACCAAAAAAAAAAAAAAACTAACCTGAAGACTGATGTCGTGTATATATGAATCATTCCTCCTCTGTTCCATGTAGGTTTTTGATGTAGCCAGGTTCAGTCGTCTGCAATTGTTAGTCTGTTGAGAGGAAAAATTAACTTGTAAGCCTTCTGTAGATAGTCCATCAGCTGGTTCTCCTAATGCTGCAGCTGTTTTTTTGTTCATTTGTATCCCTTGCGTTGCAATAATGTACGCACTATTAACAAAAACTTTGAAACACATTTATGAAGAACACAAACAGTAGGAGTCCTGTTCACCCTGCTTACAACATCTCACTACACTGTATAATCTAGCCAAGCTTTTATATTAATTCAGCTTTAAGAGGGAAAAAAAACAATCAAGTCTTTCTGTTGCATTTATTCACCATCAGCCATCTACCTCATCATTTTGTTCCCTTGTCGTTGTCCTCTTTAATGGCTGTTTGCACGCCACATTGGCTGCATCCTCAGCTGCTACCTGTGCCATTATTTAGTTACATTCTCATATTTGCTCCTGTGTCTGCAAGATTGGTAAAAATGTTTTCAGAAAAGCATCGAAGCAAAAAAAAAAAAGGAGCTCCCCACAGTCATGCACTCATTTTACCTTTTGTCAGTATCTGTTTGATATATCAACCTTATTAAGATAAACTCATCCTCATGAATAGCAGGTGCCTCTAACAGTGAGAATTCATAGAACATCATTGCAGACAATTATATTGACAACATTTAACCTTATGTGTCACTACAATCGATATTGTTCCCGGACTCAGTGGTTTTCCACATTTTAGCTCATTTAGTTTAGTTTGTACTTTCCAGCTACTACTAATTGTGCACAAATGTTGTATCTCACCTGCCGTACGAGCGGTCCAAGCTGGTGAAACGTGGAACAGAGTAACTTAATTTAAATGTATAAATGTAAATAACTTTTTTCAGTGGACACTTCTCTCCTCTCTCTTACTGTAAGTGATGTACATCTTACCGAAACGAAAATAAGTAATTTGTACCGTTTTGAAAATTTGGGAACAGTATAAAAATTAAAAAATTTAAAAAAAAAAATGTTTAAATGCTCATTTTCCTGCTCTATTAAAAAAAAATGACAACACCTGACTTTTTCACGTTTTCTTTCATGTTACTCTGCTGTGTCGCTGATGAAAAGTCGGTGTGCTGACTGCGTAGTAGACAGGTAAACAAGATGTGAGTGACAAGTTCGTGGGAGTAAAAAGACAAACGGGGAAAATGACATAAAGGTTACTCAACACTTAATGTCCAGGCCCAACGACGGCCATGTAAGAAAGAGGACGTAGTTTTAGTTTATTTTAAGAAATGAACCAGTCATGACCTGTCTGCTCTGGTACACTGCAGAATTTTTTTACTGTCATGTCCAAAAAGGAAATGCAATTCTTAAAAGAAACTCTCTGTAGGAACTTGAATAGGGACAAACTCACTCCCTTACACTCCAGTAACTCTATAGAATGGCCATCACCAGTCAGACAAACTGTGTCAAGTGAGTCCCAAAGCAATATGTGGATGAAGGATGAAGGGTATCAGTTCACAGAGTCGCTTGATAGAAGATTTCATGGTGTAGACTGCTGCGAGGGGCGAAATTCGACACTGAAGCACTAACACCCAGAAGTGATGAAAGACAACTTGATAACAAAGAGAGAAAAAGTGCAAGAGATGTTCATCCCTATTTCAGCTGGTTTTTCTCTCAAATTCACTGAGTGAGAGCGGTCGTGTAATAATGGGGAATGATTTCCTTACTTCCTACTTACTTTAAGATGCACCTTTTGCCATGTTTCGCTCTACTCCATTCCACCGACATAGTGTGACACTGAATAATTAACATACCTGAGAACAAAGGTGTAAATCAAATGCAGGGTTAAGCTTTCATAGTTCAGGACAGAGGTATGGTATGAAAAGAACGATGCATTCCTTTATCTTATGCTGTAGAGAGGTAAAGGGAAACCTGGCGGGTTTTTGACACCTGACAACTATTCACTCACTACTCTTTGGTGCAGTGTCCTATAGAGATTTTTTTTCTTTTTTTTTTACCCCCTTTGAAGGTGAGTATTGGTCGGCTTATTTTTGCCTCAACTCATTTCCAACTTTTCATTTCTTCCTCAGAATGTATTCTTTGAAAAAGGTGGAAACACCTCAAACAGAATTTATACCAACTACAATACTAACAATGTGAAACCTTGACTAGTCATAGTCAGAGCGAAGCAGGTTTCACTGCCACACATTAGACTGGTTGGTCTAAATCATATTGTTATAATATCAACAGGTGGTGGCAGTTATGTGTCAAACACTATCCACTACCCGATACTTTAAGTCCTATATATTATAGGCAACATAAAAACATACATTTGCTGATGTCAGTTGGAGCTGTGGTGATAGCGGGTTAAAACAGCAGGTTTTTCACAGCAGACATTTTGAACTGTCACACTGTGAGAAGCACAGGTGTTACTCATAACATTAACGATGACTGTTATCATCCCAGTAAACAGTGACAGTGAGCCAACATAAGACCCTGAAACAGAGCGAGTTCAGTGGAAGTCGGCCATCGTTTAGTTTATTATTTACACCTGTTCTTTCTTCTGCGACGTGTCAAAATGTCCTCTGTGAAAAAGACCTCTCTATTGGAGATCCTTTTGTTTCTTTTTTAAAATTCCTTACAAAGCATTTTTTAACTCTTAAACATTGAGGTATATACAACTGGGATCACTGGGAAAGCGTTGATAAGAACGTACAAACTTACTGTTTTGTGCTGGGGAAGTGGGGGAGATGAAGTTTCACATAGTCCACGCACATCTGACTTGTATCAGTGAGCTCAATCAGTCAGATTGTTGCACCTGAGACTAATTAATAAGCAGTACTACACAATGCAGCTAAATGTGTGCAGGTCATTTTGACTGAATTTACCTTATTCCTTTTATTACCTCTTTATTTGTTCTTTTATTTGTCCCACCTTTCTGTTATTTATTTTTCTGTAAAATGTGTGTTTTTTTTTTTTTTAAATTGAGCTAAAAATGAAGTATGCAAGTAAACAAAACATAAGGTGGAAAATAAAAGCTCTGAGGATTAACAGAGCAGAGAGCCAGGAAAGATATACGGACCACCCACGTCAACAGTTGTAAAAAAAAAAGAAAAAAAAGAAAAAAAAGAAATCACTTTTATAACTCGCTTTTCAATTCATGTTATCCTATCAACAGGTGGAAATCATGGCACAAGCATGTAAAACACATAGACACACCTACTATGTCCCTTTACACACTCAGAGGATTCATAGTGCTGTTGTAGGAGTCTCACACTCCTGGGTCCTCTACAGGAGCTGGAGGGCCATCTGGTCCCCACAGGCCAGCACCGCATCCTCCTCCATTCAGGCAAGCACTGATCTGGCACTCCACTCCCACTCTCCACACGTGTGTGTGGTCCAGATTGGATGACGGCAATGATGACACAGTCAATCCTGTGGGTGGCTTGTTTTTCCAAGGTCACAGCACTCCCACCCCACCCGTGGATAGATCTGAGGGAGATGCTGAGTGGGCTTGCAGCGGATACTCATCTCCTGTACTGGAGGGGTGACGCTGTTTCTCACTGCAGTGCAAATGGGATGGCTGAAGCCACAGCCCTAAAGCCTCCTGTCAGAGGATTAAGTGAATAGATGCTGATTTTTCATAGTTTTTATTGACATACATTTCCTCCTGCATTCCAAATCGGGTGGAAACCATTTTCATTATCATTTTTTTCTGCCCATCACTTTGAAAATTCCCCAGTCATGAACTACTCACATTTGAGAAACTAGTAGCAGCAAATGTTAGTATTTTACTTGGAAAAATGACCAAAAACGATTCATCGATAATTTAAATAGTTACATATTAATTATGTCCATCAATTTTGTCGACTTTAAGAATAAGGCTGCAATTATTGGTCGATTAATCAACTATTTGTTTGAAAGAAATTAATTGGTAACTGAAAACTGATTAATTGTTTAAGTCGTTTCTCAGGCAAAAATGCCAAATACTTGATTCTTAACCTTCACAATCTGTTGCTTTTCTTGGTCTCACATTACAATGAATTGAATATTTATGGGTTTTGGTTTGTTGGGCAGATAAAACACATTTAATAGCATCACCTTGTGCATTAGGATTTTGTGATGGGCATTTTCACAATGTTTTCCTTTATATACCAGACTATTAATCAATTAATTGAGGAAATAATTGGCAGATGTCAGTTTTAACCCCCCCCACACACACACACACACTCTCTCGAGGGTCGACCGTCCTGTCAGGACAAAGGTGCAGCTGCTTCAGCAGTGCAGCTGTGATACCCCACGTGAGTGGGCAGATTTTCCAGAGGGGGCTCTAATTTACTGCTTTAGGGCTTTGGCTGCCTCAAGTATGATTTATCTGCGGCCCGGCTCAAATGAGAGCTTTGACACAAGATGGATGAGGAGGACGTGGGCTGCCTCTGCACTGCTCACTGGTCCATAGGCTGCGTCTCTGTACCGTCAGAATGTGATAAATGATGTTTGGGTTTACCCTGGAGGCTGGATTACTTGAATTTCTTACACTTATTTGAATATATTTAAAGGCAAACCTGTAGACTACTACTCAACAGGCTTGACAGTAACTACAGGTCCCCTCTGTGGTTTGTTTACTAGTCGGCTTCTTTTGCAAGGGAAAAGAAGTCACTCCTTTCAACCTACGTGTTTCTCTACAATGAGTAGCTGGAGTAGAATTTATTGTGTAATATCAGGACAGATGCTAGTGGGAGGAACTGTAGCCCAGGATGAACATAACTCTGCCTAACACACCATCATGTGTGAACTCATAAATATTTAATGGGAGTATCCTTGGAAGGTCAAATGCAGGATTCAATCTTCAGTCAGTCACTGAATGAGCGGTGTGCTCTCCTCTGGGCTATGGGGGGTCTGAACTCAAGACTGCAGCCCTCGCACGGTTTCATCGACCCAG